TGGTGAGTAATTCAATGCTGTTACTCAACATTCTGCGGCTTTACCGTTTAACACATTGAATCGCTGAACTGGACACGACTTACAGGGGTGCACAGTTTTCCAATCTACGACAAAAAACTTATTTAACAAAGGCTCTAATCTGCTTCACCAAGGTTTCATTCTATTGTTATCGCTACTGACGTTCCTCTTTGATTAATGAATCGCTACAGTTTCGGCCTGTCTTAAGTCATCACCGTTTTCTCTTTATATTTCGTTTGAATCCCCATCATTCAAGGCCTCCCTTATTTTCTTGGTGATGAATTTCCGTACCATCTCCTGAATCTCCTCTTCCTCTGGGCATTCCAATTCGCCTAGTAACTTTCTGATGTGATCCACAACCTGCGTAGTTGAGCCTCTATGCACCTCTAAAGACGATTTCACCAGCAAGTAGATATCCAGAGGTAACAGCACGGCGCCAGCAACTCCTCCGACTAAGTTGGCCGCGCCCGCGCCCGCGGCAGCACCCGCTCTCACCAGACCCCCAGCTCGAGCGAAAGCACCTGCAGCAACAGCTCCTGCCCCTATCGAAGCCGCACCCGAAAACACTCGGAAAAACCTGGCAGAGAAATTTATTTTCTCCTCAGTTGAAGTCGTGAACTCCCCTCCGCCTAGATTGTGGAGAAATTCAAAACCATTGCTTTCTATTTCTCTGAAGTCGGAGATGAACCTCCCAAGGATGTCCAACTTTTCTTGCAGTTGCGTGCAAGCTTCCTTGTCCTCGTCAATGACTCCCTGAACCTCTTTCAATCCTAGCTTTGCGAGGATTATCTCGATTACTTTGGAAACAGACATCACCAGGCCTCCTGTGCCTCCAATTCCGGCGCCAACGAGGGAGACCACAAGCCCGGCCCCAAAAGTGAAGGGCGTGGCGATCAGGCCCGCTATCGCTAGGATTCCTCCTACGGTACTCGCGGAAGCACCTGCTATGGTCGATTTACTCACATTTATATGTTGCTGGTGTAATTTGGATGCAAGTTCCTCCAGTTTTTCCATAGTGCGTTTCCTCTTCGGTATCCACTGCTTAAAGGTGTTAATCAAGTCTTCCCCCAACCGGTCTAATTCTCGGAATCTCGTTATGACTTGGACATAAACTTCTTCTGGCAATAAAATGCTGCAAGACAAATATTAATACAAACAATGAAGAAAAAGAATTATTTTAACTTTTAAGGATCTATTCTGTTTAGGTGCTGGGCTGCTTTCCGATAGGTCAGTATTATT